GTGAGTATGAGAGAGAGAGAGAGAGAGAGAGAGAGTGTGAGAGAGCGAGAGAGAGAGAGAGAGAGACAGAGAGAGAGCGAGAGAGAGAGAGTGTGTGTGTGTGTGTGAGCCGCGGCGCTGGATGAGCAGAAGAACAGCAAGCTGGAGTGTTTGTACGGTCAGCTGCTGCACGATCGAGAGAACACAGGAGCTCCACCGCAGACCAGACAAACACACCTTCCTGCAGGTCAGAGCCACTCATTCAGTCTGATTAGAGAATCGTGAAATCAAACACTGTTCAATCTGACTGCTGTGGGGTGTTTGACCCGCCCTCCCTCTCTGATTGACAGGCTGTAGAGTGAGTAGTGCAGTGTGAGGCTTGTCTAATCATCACTTACTCACCTTCATGTCGTTCCAAACCCGTGTGAGGATGTTCATGATGCTCTTCATACAGCCAGTGGATGTTGAGGTTCACTGCGACTCAAAGCTCATTCACGCTTCTGCATCTTCACATCTGCCGCATCACGATTGTTCACAAAACACCTGTGAACCGAGAACATTTGTACAGTTTGTAAATCTGATCAGCAGGTGCTTTCGAAGTGCTCGTCCTCCGTTTGGATTTACAGTAGATGTGCCTAATAGTCCCAGTAAACAGTAGATCAGTGATATAATAATTCATTATACTGACAGTCTCTGTTATTTAACTGGACACTTCGTCCATTGGTCCTGAGCACTAACCCGCGCAGGTGTGCATCTCGCAGGTGTGTGGCCGTCAGAGGACAGTATCACTGGGAGATCGAGGTGCACGAGACACATCCTCACACCATCCAGGTGCATCACACGAGCTCCAGCCCGCAGACTCACAGAAAACAGTTAGAGCAAGAAAAGGGCATTTCTCTCGAAATATGGGCTGAAGCATTCAAACATTTAAATATGTCTGTGAGCACGTTACTCAGCCTGCAGCAGTCGCGTTCAAATTAAAACAAATTGAAAGACTAGAATATGAGATGCTAACCCTAACATGGTGTGCCATCTGAGCTCATGTTCTCACTGAGGTCCTATAGCATGAATGAGGGGGAACGCTGTGATTGGCTCATAAACTGCAGTGAAAATTCTGACGTCACAAACCTGCCTGAACCAGTCAAAATCTTGGATCATTTTGATCTAGTGTTTACTGATAAAGATGACCAGTTATGAAAAGGTGACTAGAACAATAACCAACTGTGATAAATAAAAAAACATAAAACGAAATAATTTAGCTGATTATTGTACATTATATTAGAATATGAAAATAGCATAAATGAGACTTCATGTTCATATAAAATTACAGTATCAGATGCTTGTTGAATTTACGGTGTAAATAAATGGAAACGGCATGAATTCACAGAGACTTTGTCTGATGTCACATGAACCTTCTAGAGTCTCTGGGAATCGTGCAGGATGCTGCTTTTAATAGCGCAGCAGTAAACGCTTGCAGGCATCATGATTAGCAGAACCCGTCACATGACAGAAACTAGAGTCTATCTGACGCTCGGGCTCCTCTCTCCTCCTGCAGACACAAATATCTGCACAATCCTCTCTTTCAGGAACGCAGCGCTGCGGCAGCACCTCTAACCCTTCAGCTGTCAGATCCTGCACCACGTTCAGCCGTGTTTAGCGCTGGATAACCCTGGAGCCCTGACGCTCCGCGCCGCGAACATCACGCTACTGTGACCCGAGAGATCTGGGCTGATTCTAGAGCTGAATAAACAAGACGGCAGCATCGGTGTGGTGTTTATGTCTTTTATTCCATAGGAACAGTTGCACATCAGTCCTGTGTAAAATAAAACTTAATAAAATAAAAAGTCTGTGATGCTGCGCAGGCGTGCGTTAGGTCCTTAGCTCTTATTCCCGCTGCGCATGCGCTCCTCCTCCTCATCTGATGAATCTCCTCCGTACGGTACGAGTCCAGAGGAGCTGCTGGAATCTTCTGGAATCTTCATCTTCTTCATCATCAGTTCTTCAGCTGCAGGGAGATCAGAAAACAGCTCATTCTTCAATTCAGCTTCAAGACCAAGTCATTAATGGGAGCGACTGAAAACCCTGCACATACATATATATATATATATATATATATATATATATATATATATATATGTGTGTGTGTGTGTGTGTGT